CACACTTCACCGGTTCATCTGGATCATCTTCGGGCGTGGCGTGATCTTCAAAACCTCTCATGCCCTTCCGTAGTTTGATGTCAGTGTGGGAAGTTCGTTGATCTAGAGCAAGTATTTTCTCGCTGCCTAATCAACTACACTTATTCTTTAAAATTGAAGAAAGATTTATATATATATATATATATCCGTTCAGCTGTAACAACCTTCCGGTGCCTAGCTTCCATGCAACCCGGAGGAAGCATGAGGGCTAAGATACTGCCAGGTTGCCCAAGCCTAGACAGGGGAAGTCGAGAGGCGGAGGTCGGATTCGAACCCGGGACCTTCCGGTCAGTAAATTCGTGCTCTATCCACTTGAGCCATCTCGCCCCAAAGAAAGATTTAAAAGTCACGGAAAAACACTATGTTCAGCAACCATCCACAGCATCCGTTCTTATGGGGGGCGTTTACCACACAAGGTAGTCACCTTCAAAACACAACCTACCTGTAAATTGTTCTGCTGAACTGAGCGTTGGTTGGAGAATTTGGAAGGAAAATTTTTTTTAGCAACTTTGTGAGTAGTTTCCTTTGAGAAAGTGTGCTGCGACAACTCGGATATCGTGCCGACTGAATAGTGAGGTGGCCTTTGTGCATCACATTCAGTTAAAGAACGACAGATTCAACCGGGGTTCAGTTGGGTCTCTCGTAAGAACCAAATGGGTTTGCAAGTAAGCGCATTTCACCAAACAAGGTGGATTTCGACCGTAACCTGAGGTATGTTATATTGTTTTCCGATTTGGGTACGTGATAGGCAAATGGTGCTGTGGTCCAGCTCAGCTGTATCGTGTTTACTATTTCAAGCCTCCGAGATGTATAAAATATAGAAAAAATCGTTCAGCTGTAGCACCCTTTCGGTGCCTAGCTGCCATGCTACCCGAAGGAAGCACGAGGGCTGGGATTCTGCCAGGTTGCCCAAGCCTAGACAGGAGAAGCCCAGAGACAAACCGGGTCGGGTTCGAATCACGGATCTTCCGATCAGTAAATTCGCGCTCTCGCNTTGCCCAAGCCTAGACAGGGGAAGTCGAGTGGCGGAGGTCGGATTCGAACCACGAACCTTCCGGTCAGTAAATTTGCGCTCTCGCCCGCGAATTGTATTGTCAGCTTTTAGTCCGATCAGAACGTGTTTCCTACTGAAGGCCATTTGATAGGTTGATATCTTGCTTTTACGAACTCCTTATATCTTGTGTGACAATGTAGAACACTGATAGACAAGTTTTTGGGAGAAAGCATGAGGTTTGCGATCCCGTGGGTACCTGTGCCTTTCAATTGCATATTCTTTTATAATACCTCTCGAGAATTCGTCCGCGTTTTACAAGATTAATTTTCTTGAAGTTTCGTCCTGTTTTATCGTGCGTGGACAACATGCCCCCCCCTGATGACCTCCCGTATTTTTTGCACAGGTCCATCTTCCGACTTGCTCACAAGACTTTGAAGCAATACACGGCTTTATCGCCTCCTCTTGCGATGATGAGAATGCAGAATCCGTTTTGCCGTCTTCCAATCCGGACGACGAATTGTTATCCCGTTACAACAGCACCAGCCGTGGTGCTTGTCGCGATTGCCAGAATGACCGATATGTTCATATGTTGATGCAGCAACTGGAGGCCGACGCTCCTGAGGATGGTTCCGAAGTGGCTTCTTTTGAACAGGTGGATGCAGGCTTCTCGCTGACACAGCCCTCAGGAGAATGTCTTGAATTTGGCGATGATGACCTTTTGGACACCTTTAGCCAATCAGTACCAAATGGATTCCACGGCACCCATACTTCAAACTCAGATACAATCGCTGTTGAAGTTCCAAAAGACCAGGTAAATTCCGACCGTTATCGGTACACAAATGAGAGCATAAAAACAAAACGCTGCTAAACATAAGTCACGACGATTTCGTGATAAATTATTCCTGGCTCAGTTAATGATGGCACTGGATACTTGTTTATCACTCGATGGTAGGTGATTTCTGGTTGGTAACGCGTGTTAATTCAGACCAGGACTTGGATTTACAGTAGCCCCCTATTCAGAATCACCTCTCACGAAGATGCAATTTTGTACATCCTGAGAGGATACTCCTGTTAACCCAGCCAGTAAACTTAGTCACCCATTCCATTAAATCCTTGTATGATTTTCGTCTTCAAAAATCCGTTTCGAAAGTGAAGTTCGACGCTGAGTGCGGCAAACAATTCAGAGCTATAGGTTTAGAGGAAGGTTTCGGAATACTCGACACCGGCGCCCACTGCATGAGTGGTATTCCTTATTGATGGAGCGGAACGTGTGGTGAGCGTTTGTCAGTAACTCCTTCGTTATTCCTGGTCATCAGGCGTCTCTCTGGACGAGTACATCCGAATCAAGGTCCAGAAAACCGTAGTTGACCGTCAACGGGAGTGACCTCCAATTGGATGCTACGAGGGAGGTAGTTTTCAGTTGAGTATTACTTGACGTTTAGGTGAAAGGTAGGCTGCTCGAATTAACATTTTTCCCTGTACGACGTATGCCCATTTATCTCACTATCACCCGTTCTGGATATTGTCGATACACTAGTTGCGTAACCTAACTTTACTAAAGAGTTTGGAACGTGTGTTTTGTCAACTAAACGAGCAGAGCAGATCTCATACGACAACGCCTTTAATCTTTGGTCTATGTGGCTGAGTGGTACACATTTAAAAGCGATCACACAACTACAAACTGTATTTTTATGAGATGCCGATTGGAAGACCATTATGAGTTGCAATTTGCCTCCCTGTTGACATAATTGGATGCGTTTGTTCGACGATGTACTTTAACCACAGTGTTTGGTGTGGTACCGTTCAGCTGTAACTTCCATGCCACCTGAAGGAAGCACGAGGACTGGGATGCTGTCAGGTTGCCCAAGCCCAGACAGAGGAAGTCGAGAGGCAGAGGTCGGATTCGAACTAAGGACGCTCCGGTCAGTAAATTCGTGCTCTAAACACTAAGCCATCTCTCTATGGTGTGCATCTGTGTGAAACTTCCGAGTATGACCGACAACGCTAGCAAGACACTTGCCATTTCCAGACTAAAGAACAAGAGCATTGAGAACCTCAGGCCACGCGCTCATGCCTAATTGGACACGTGAGCCTGTAACTTCCGAGACAACCAGCCGTGTGTTTTGTTCGAGCTCCTATTGTTCACAGTTGTCTCGTTCATAGTGGGTTATTCCTTGATGTATATGAAGGTCCCCCAATGAAACGCACCCCTCAACAGGTTTCATTTGTAGGGGAAAATTCTCAATCTAAGCGCATTTTCGTCGCGGAGGATTTGTATGTCAGCAAATTCAGGTCCCACTTCACCACCCACTACTATAAACCACAACGCAGTTGACAGAAATGATATTTCCACAACTTTACTCCGTGGAGTTGCGTTTCGCCACGTAACGAAGAACTGCTTTCTAATTGGAAACTTAACGTCAGAACCACTGCACCCAGATACCGGGCTGAGTGTTGTCATGACCAGTGTGCACCCGGTGATGAGAATCCCCTGGCTCATGCTAACTGAAAGTTTGTGAGCCGTCTTCGAGAGATACGCGTATTTCTCGAGAAACGCGGTATAGTTTGTGTTATATCTGCTGATTCGCCGACCTGTGGTATCTGCTGCTAACCCGCTCCAGTGCCTAGTGCCCGAGGAAAAAGACTTACAGAAGGGAACGCAACCGCTATATTCCGAACAAACGAGTGCGAGAGCAAAAGATACAGCGGTCCCACGCTATTTAAAGGGGACTTTCTGACATTGATCCAGGCTGTCTGATAGGCGTTAGTGAACACCCGTCAACATCGATCGTGACTCTATGAAATGCCTGAACGCTGATCACATTCGGTCGTGCTTCTGTGGCGTGCATGAGGACTCATTGGTTTTGCTGAATTGATCGAATGATTGACTGGCCTGGATGCTTGCCGGCTTTCCTATTGAGATTTTGGTGGAACAGTAGATTCCGGGTGTTCTGAGGCTACATTCACGAATCTGACCTTCCTGATAGTTTGTGAATCCAGAAATTTGTCTCGTGGCACATCTCTCCTTCGTTCTTGGCACTAAAAACAGTATTGGAAAGAAGAGGCGATGTTACGCAAATCTGCACTGAAAACAGGTGACAGAGTGGAAGAAGCCGGAATGTCCCTGTGCACGTGACTTACCACACCTCTGCCTGATGGATCAGCAGTTGACCTCCATCAGTACGATCAATGAGCCCTTCGTGTGACTCATACTGGGCCATTCATTGATGTCGTCCTCGACTCTTCTTTTGTCGTTACTTGTTTTCCGCACCTGCGACTACCCTTTGTCCCACATTATGCGCTGTCCTATGCTGCCATGACGAAAGCCAGCGCATACACCTAAATGGTCCGTGGTTGCCAGGCTAGCAACGTGTCGAAATATTGGTCCCCGGGGTTGCGCATACCGATGCTCGATGAGGTGATCATCAATTCGCTTGCGCAATGATGATGTCTCTCCGACTAGTGACGAGACTTTTGGAAGCTTATTGCCAAGTTCGGCGAACAGATAAACGGTCACCTAATCAACCATGAGCCTTGTCTTGGTACAACACGACTTTTGTAGATGCTGAAATTGCTATCTCTCCATGTGAAAGATCTACTTTCTTCGTTGGCACAGTTAAAAACAACTGATTCTCAATGCCATTCGTTTTTTGAAATGATGAGTGGCACTGTTTCCTGCCTGGGTGCGAGTTACTCCCTCTGCTGATCAGCCACGTGTGTCCGGATAGTTTAGTTTCCAACTACTAACCGCCAGCTCTCTGGAGATTCGTGAGTTGATTCCCAATAAGGATGGAAGAGATGTAGTATTTCTAGGCTTTTTCTCACAGACTGACTTCAACTACGGGACGAAATCTCTAAAAAAAAATTGCCCTATCCTGTCGGGATTGTTTTGTGTTTGTCGAATTGTCCTTCTTCGACCGTATGCCGCAATGAATCTTACCGTGTTTTTCTCCTTCTGTCTGTCTAGCCGGTTACCCACAGTGCCTGCCCAGTGGAACACTTCAGTCCATGTCCTAATGAAGTTACTGTGGTGTGCGGTGACACGCTGCTCACTTCACAACCTTCTATCTCGTTGGAATGTCACGAAAACCGCCTCTTCGCCAGTTCGGACAACTCAGGTCACCTGACCCACAACGATTCGGATGGCTCGGACAATCATCTTCACGCTGACCGCGATGTGTCCTATCATCCATCGCAAGCCACTGAGATCCAACTGCTATCCTCACTTAGGACCCACGAAGATCCAACAAACCAGCATCAGCACTCGTCATGTCTCCCCCTAGAGCCAATATCTTCGCTATTTTATCGTTGTGCTTCAAAGCGAACCCTGTCGCCACAAAACCCGATTCCACTTGATCGTCCTCCCACGCAGTCGTCAGTCTATTCTGAAGACGATTATCTCGCCTCCCCTGGCGCGCTAGATGGTAATGATTCGTCCTTAAGGCCCACAAATTCCTCAGCCTCATCATCCCCACGGATTTGCACCTCTCCGTCCGATGATAACTCAACCCTTCCCTCAACTTTGGAAGTTTCGGCCAAGAGTCCATCCAGACCGACATCACAGTATGTGGAAGGCGTTACTGCTTAGTGGAAAGCTCATCCTGTCATTTCACACCCCACACATATTGCTTTCATTTTCTAGATCTATGTAGCCGGTACACTTATCGATCTTTCCTCCGTGTGCACTGTACAGACGTGAACACCTGCGATGCTATCTCAGTCGGTCAGTTCTCTGAAGAAATTTTTAAAATTCCCATGGAAACAAACTTGTACTGCCGTGTCGCCGCTATTCCTGCTACTAATAAGAATGCCGCATTGATCAGACTGTGATATAATCTTAGTTTCCTTTTTTTCTTTGCTTGTTCTTTCTACTCTTCCGCGTATGAAATGACCTCACTTGATTGATTTGAACGGTGCTAATGATATTCCCCCGTCATCTGTCATTGTTCGTCAATTCTATTTCTATTCCCCAAATGTCAGCAGCTGTTTTCGTTACACTGATAGATCAGAGTGGAGAGGTGTCTCTGAAACGTACATACTATCCTTTGAAACGGTTTTACGGCGCCTTCACTCGTTGCACCTTGTGAAAAATAGAAAAATATCGGTCCATCTTTCTGGCACTCGGAACGTAGGCGCCTGGTGAGAAGAATTGTCACTTTTCAAAGTGTTGAAGGAAATCTGAGCTTTTCCTTTAGAAAAGGAACGTCATGAAGAAATCTGCACTTAACAGTCGTAACCCACTAGTTGATCGGTTTGTCAGTGAAGAGATGGTTAACACTTCCGGAGTCGACGCTTCAGTTGCCTACCGTCAACGGTGCAATCAACAACCAGTGTCTTCAGTTAGAGGATGAATCTCCGAGTACATCTTGATTGGGATCAACTGCCATGAATGAAAATTAGCAGTTCAACACATTGAATGAAAGCTGACAAATTTCGTCTGGTGCTCTATGATCTTGGAAATTGTTGTGTAACCGGTAAGCTGTGACACCCTTTCGGGCCTAGACGCACTGCCATGAATGAAAATTAGCAGTTCAACACATTGAATGAAAGCTGACAAATTTCGTCTGGTGCTCTATGATCTTGGAAATTGTTGTGTACCCGGTCAGCTGTGACACCCTTTCGGTGCCTAGCCGCCATGCCACGCGAAGGAAGCACGAGGGCTGGGATACTGCTAGGTTGCCAAGCCTAGACAGGGGAGTCGAGAGGCAGAGTTCCGGCTCGAACCACAGACGTTCCGGTCAGTAAATCCGCACTCTAACCACTTGAGCCATCTCGCCTCAATTGTCGTGTACAATGTTTTTTTTTCAATTACTCGTAGTCGATCTAAGAGAAAACGCACGTCTTTTATCACCGGCTGGAGTTTCCGGCGTTATTCATGATATCTACGGTCATTCGAAATACTCCTCAGTGTCTAGACGTAACACGTTACTCATGAGGTTGTCGCGAATTCTCCAGGCAGCATATGCAGAGAATAGTTGGCGTACCCTTCAATATCTTCATCACAGGAGTTGCTATTCAGGATTTGGAGGTACCGTCGGGACTGCCGCAGCACTAAACACGGTGTTTAAAATGAGTCACACGAGTACGCAATTACTTCCGAGTGAACTCGTAAGCATTGAGTTTTGTAGGTATAATGATATACAAAACAGGATTGCTCATCACCTTTTCCTAGCCATATCGTGGGATACCATCTTGACTCCTTTTCGGAAAGTGTTCTCGCCAGATGCCACAAGAATTTAATTACAACCGAGCCCCATTAGTTCCTCTTGTTCCTTGTTTGGAAGCTGGAGAGTCGACAAATAGTTTTCAAAGCTGAGCATGTAAGTGGCTGGACACAGTTGGCAAGTATAGCCATGTCGGAGCATAACAAGGATTCCTCACATTCGTCTTTGTTTTCTAAAATGGGGGGTGTTTCTACATGGTTCATAGACTTCCTTGGATCGTCTCGTGAGCTTCAAGCCAGTGAATGTGCACTTGGTGGATATTGAATACAGACGGCAGGATGGCCCAGTCTCAGCCCCGAAACTCTGCCAACCCCATACGACGTACACATGATGAGTGCTCTAGAATCATAAATGGGTGTCAGTTGCATCTACTGTGTAGAAACACGTTATCAACAGCTGAAATGCTGCACTTTGCTAGAATAAGAAAGCCCTAGAGAATGAGCGATATTTCTGTAAAGGTAGACTTTGAGATTTCCACCTAGTTGAATGAACAGAACATTTAGAATCAGAATAAACTTTGTGGATCGGGAACTCTACGGAGCTGACCATACAACAGCTGTTAAGTCGGCTCCTGTGAGGAGAGGCATTTATGAACCAAGCAATTGAATGTTGGTTCGGATTTTGAGGTGACAGTCCGCTCAGCATTCGAATACACATCCTATCGTCACGTGACATAGTATGATATGTTCACAATGAATTTGCCAAGGGTTCTGGTTTGTGTCAGACTTGGCATCATAGACGGTTTGGTATAGCTACCCTTTCCATCCCACCGGAGAGAAGTGACCCCATCTCCGAGATAGGCTTTTTCCGTGGGGTGAGATCGCTCAGTGGTTGGAGTGCGGATTTACTGGCGGGAAGGTCCGTGGTTCGAACCCGACCTCTGCCTCTCGAATCCCCGTGTCTAGGCTTGGGCAACTTGGCAGTATCCTCGTGCATCCTTTGGGTGGCATGGCACTTAGGCACAGGAAGGGTGCTACAACTGAACGATTTTTATATTATTTAATCGAAAGAACGGTGCTAGCTTTTCTCCTCCTTGAACAGCATCGTCTCATCAGTGGCCAAACGTCATAAGCGATAGCTCTTGTGAAGTCTACCAGCACGACACAGTCATGGTAATTTCAGGTGGGGTACGCACCCAATATACCTGTGGTTGCGCAAACCAGGTGAAGTTGTCTTCACTTGACCTTCACATTCACACCGTGTTGTTATATTCGTGAGCATCCGAAACATGGTGAGTTCCGTGTACCGTTGTACTTGAGACATACACACGATGGACAGCCTGTTTCAACGAATCTGGAGCGCTCGTGAATCAGAAGCCTTTAGTCACAATTCACCTTGGCAAAGTGATCACTCCCTTCAAACCATGCAACGGTTAGTTTGAGGTTTCCTTTGTGGATACCATCTTTCAGGTGAAAACCGAAAGGGGGACAACTCATATTTCACTTCTTCTCCGTGCTGAGAGCTATTAGCAGTGCACTTGAGGGAGATCTAACCTATAACCGTCAGATTCACTGCAGATTCATTCACAAAGTGAAAGAATGAAAAAGGAACAAGCCCAGTGTGGGATACAACTGGTGACAGATAGTGGTCAAAGGAAAGAATGCCTTTTTCCGCCTGAACGCCAAAAGGCTCTTGTACACTGACATAGATAACTACAGTCCCTTGATAAAAATTGCGACTTCCTTTCTGTGGTGTTTTTTCTGTTTTTTGGAATACCGTTTGACTTGGATCACATACAATCCAATAATAGCTCCATCACTGCGCAGCGCGGTTTTTCATTGTCCCTGATTTGTATCGCTATGCCCCACAAGGTACCTGCAATAGACTATAACAGTAAGTGAATTTAAAGGGGATATATTAGCATTCCAAAGGCTCGCTCTACAGTGCCAACCAAACGAAGAGCTGTTTCTTGTTCTATGCTACCTGAGCTACCGACATTTGTCTCCATAGAAGAGCTGTTTCTGCTTACACAAGTTTGTCTTCCGTTCGGGAAGCCGGGAAACACTCCGCTGTTTGCTGTGCTGAAAATACATCAAATGCGATGGGTCGATTGAGCAGTATTCAAACGAACTAATTATTTTAAGAAACAGTCTACTGCATTTTGTTCGCGCTGGATTCGGTGCCAGTGTGGTCAAATCAAACTGGATAAAGTCCATACTTGCTGAATGAAACATCCGATAGCTTTATCAGGTGTACCCTACATGTAATTATCGGCATTCTTGCTGTAGGTACGTTCTTTTATAAGCAAACGAAACGCTGAAAAATGCCGCTTATTGTCAGGCACGCAGTCGCCTGCATTCCCATCAAGAAATGTAGTCTCTGTCATCAAGTACTATATAGTAATTAGTAGCATATTACTGCTACTACGGTTTGCTAACCTGCAGTTACTCCCGGTCTGCGAACGTTTTTCGTGACTGCCTTAGTGCACCTAGTGACCTTACAGCACTTGCGTTCTTTTATTTATTATTATTATTAATAATAATATTATTATTATGTTCTTAAAGCAAATAATTTAAGACCAATTCAAGGTCCATTTGAACTGAGATTGATGGCCGGAAGGTCCGTGGTTCGAACCCGAACTCTGCCTCTCGATCTCCCCTGTCTAGTCTTGGACAACCCTGCAGTATCTCAATCCTCGTGCTTCCTTTGGGGGTGGCTTGGCAGCTAGGATACTACAGCTGAACGATTTTTTCCCTAGCTACTATCATGGCATACATTTACCGCTACTGTTTCCCCTCAAAATTCTTAAGCTCCAATCGAAAGTGGATTTGGGCACCATTTTGTTTTCCCCTACAGAACAAGTGAGGAAACGATCCTCCTGCCACTCAGAGGTAATCTAAACATTTATGTGAGCTTAGAAATTCGTTTTATTGAATGTATTACTTCAAATTACAAGCGTACGCAGAAACAAGATACAGTCTTATATGCAGTTATATCGCAAACGCGAGAAAACCGCCCAAAATTTTCATTATAAACAACAGATTCCCATATGGACATCAGCACGTAGACAACAAAGTCTCTTGTTGGCAGTCGGCTGAAAGATTCACGGCTACTCCTTAGACGGTAGCCGATAGTCCATAAAAAAGCCTACCCCTTAACTTCAGCGATATATTATCGTCCAGCTGTAGCACCCTTTCGGTGCCTAGCTGCCATGCTAACCAAAGGAAGCACGAGGGCTGGGATACTGACAGGTTGCCCAAGCCCAGACAGGGGAAGTCGAGTGGCGGAAGTCGCGTTCGAACCACGGATCTTCCGGTCAGTAAATTCGCGCTCTAACCACTTTGGCCATCCCACTCCTCAATACATCATCAAAGTACGTTTCACATCCGGATGATTTAGGGAGCATATTTCCAGGGTTGGTACCTGTAAAGGAACCAATTTAATGGACCAAATAAGGGCGGCCTTTTCAAAGAGCTCGTTTCTGCACAGGAAGAGGTGTGGTCTAAATAGGAAGCGAACTATACGAGGTTTGAATAAAAAGCCAATAAAAAGTCCAACTATCCAACTAACAGAACGGTCAACCTGAAAGTTCGTCAGCCATGTCGCATTTATGCTATCTGAATTAGAACACGAGTTGTCCGCCATCCATCTTATACATCTTCGAGATGTAAACAAGGAGCCCTTTGCTTAACTTTCACGGCAGACTGAAAAAGCGCTGTTATGTGTTGGTGCGCCCGCTTACTGCGGTTGTTGTGTTTCTATCTTAGACAAAGATGGATTAGTGTAACTGCAAGTGCACACTTTCGGCTGCGAATTATCTTAAAGCTGATACCTTCAACTTCCATCCGGTAGTTGAAAGATGGATGCCCTTTGGATAGCGCTTTTTTCGTTCTATTGAGATCTGTTGAGTGGCCATCGATCACGTCTCTAACGACAACCAAATCAACACAAGCATTCTCACTCGTCTTCTTGAACTTCCGCAGATATTCGTTGACTATCACATAATAATAAACGAACACTGCAAAGCAGTTCCACAAGTTCCGTAATAAACCCCACCTTCCATTAAACACCAGGCGGTTCCGATAAAACCACATACTACTCGCATGCCCCATCAGTAGTGT